ATCTTGGCCTGGTGGAGTGTGTTAAGGGGAAACCAGGGGCAGACTTAAAATGAAGCATGCTAACTTTGGGTTGTTTGGAACTGTGGTTTGAGGGTTAAATTCTGCTCTCTCCCAGCTCTTCTTATGAACCCTCTTTATTTTTCCACATTTTTATTGGTTAAGAGTAGAGAAACAATGGAAGATATCTTCACGTGCCAATATGACCGTTAGGGTTATTTCCTTCCCATCCATCAGAGTAATGGTTTCTAGTGCAACAAAGTAAAACTAGGCTACTCATCATGTTACGGAAAAACCAAATCCAAAGCAAAAAAGGTGCTTGAGTGGGTTGAGCACAAAAGAGTATGAGCACAGGTATGTGCTTACCAGTGCTTACCAGGGCTTGAGCACCCCTCCAGAGGCGCCCACAGAGGAGGGAGCCCTCCAGCAAGGGTCTGAACCCAGCTACCAGCAAGTAGGCAGCACATCTCAATCACCGGCCACTCCTTTGTAGTGTTATTCCTCAGCTGATGTTATCACTTCTCCCCCCACCGCCCCCCCGCCCTCTTTCCTTTCTTCCATTTTTGGGCCACACCTGGCAGGCGGTACTCCTGGCTCAGTGCTCAGGGATTACTCCTTGGGGCATTTGTAGACCTGGAATTGAATCCAGGCCTGCAAATGCCCTTCCCGCTATACTCTTTTTCAGGCCTCCCTTTCTCTCATTCCTTTCACTCATTCCTCACTCCCTCTCCCCTTTCTCTTTCTCTCTCTCTCTTTTATTCTTTCTTTCTCTTTCTTTTTATTCCCCCAGTGGTAATGAGGGCTTACTCCCAGCTCTGTGCTCAGGGTTCAGTCCTTGTGATACTTGAGGACAGTACGTGGTGCTGGGGACTGAACTTGAGTTGGTTGCCTGCAAGGCAAATGCCCTATCTGCTATCCTATCTCTCCAGCCCTCAGTCTCTCTTTTTTTTTTTTTGCTTTTTGGGTCACACCTGGCAATGCACAGGGGTTCCTCCTGGCTCTGTGCTCAGGAATTACCCCTGGCGGTGCTCAGGGGACCATATGGGATGCTGGGAATCGAACCCGGGTTGGCCGTGTGCAAGGCAAACACCCTACCCGCTGTGCTATCACTCCAGCCCCTTCTTTCTTTCTGAATCAATCTTTCTTTCTTTCTTTCTTTCTTTCTTTCTTTCTTTCTTTCTTTCTTTCTTTCTCTTGTGTCACTCTCAGCAGTGTTCAGGGCTTGCTCCTCCTGACTGTGTGCTCAGGGATCACTCCTGGCAGTGCTCAGGGGACCATATGGGGTGCCAGGAATCAAATCCAGATCAGATGTAAATTCTCTACCTGCTCTACTATCTCTCTGGCCCTGCCCCCAATATCTTTCTCGAGTGTAGTCTTTATTAAATTCCAAGCTGAGACTTTATTAAATCCAAGGAGAAGGAAGTTCAAGTCACATACGACTAATGAACACCTTCTGAATATTAAGCACTTTTGACAGATTCTGGAATGACAAAGGACACTTTCACTACCCTTGAGCCTATAGGCCAGTGGGAGGATACCAAATCAGAAATCCAACGTTAAATACTGTGGCTTCGGGGAATAGATCAGGGGAAACAATCTGAACTTGTTTCCTGTTTAAATATGGGGGTTTGAGAGAGGGGATAAATATCCCAGGTCTTCCAGCCCCTTTCTTCTCCTTCAAACTCTCCTTGGGCTGGGACTGGATAAATAGTACAGTATGTAGGGCACTTTCCTCGGACATGAGCAACATGGGTATGATCCCTGGCATCCCATGTGGTGCCCTGAGCATCTCCAGGAGTAATTCCTGAGTGCAAAACCAGAGTGACCCCTGAGCATTGCCAGGTATAGCTCCCAAACAAAACAAAACCAACCAACCAATCAAAGGGGGGGGGGATACTCACCTTTCCCTAGGCCTCCATTCTCTCCTGCCTTAGCATTCTGATCCTGTTCTCTTCCTCTCCCTCAAGGCCGGAGTCCTCAAATACTGGTGTTCCCCGCGGTGTCTCCTCTGCTATCAGCTCTGTCACCGTTCTGCTCAGAGGGCAAAGACTTCTCAAGTTCTACCTCCAGCTCACACGTCTCTTCTGAGCAACCTGCTTGTGTTTTCTAGCACCTATTCGGTTGCTCCTTCTGCAGACTCACTGTGCCGACCCCTCTAGCCCCCACTGTCTATCCTGTCCCATGCTGCCTGGCCCACTTTATGTTCTTTTCTTTTTGGTTTTAATGGGTGGGCTCATCCTGCAGTGCTCAGGGTTTTACTCCTGGGAGACCCTAGGGGGTGCTGTGAATCGAAATGGGGTTGACAGTGCAAGGCAAGCACTGTCCCCGCTGTACTATCTCGTTGGTCCCTGAGACCTCTTTATGAAAGAAACCAGAAACGAAGTCTCACAAAGCCAGAAATACAACGCCAGCAACATATGTGTTGTGTAGGTGTGTGTACGTGCTAGGGGTGGTGTGTGTGTGTGTGTGTGTGTGTCTGGTTTCGGACTGTTCCTGGTTCAGTGCTCAGGGATTGGTCTTCGTGGTACAATTCTGGGAATAAAATCAAGGCCTCCTGCTTGCAAACCATGAGCTCAGTTTTTTGAACTGTTGCCTGCCTGCACATATCTACTTTGAAGTTTTCTAGTAATCACACCAAAAAGGAAAAAGAAACAGATGAAATTTAAATGTGCAATACAATTAATTCACTCTACATATTGACATTTTAACACATATTTTTTGAATTGATGGAAAATCTATTTAAAAAATCAATGGGAAGTTTTATGTATATATGTATGTGTATATATATATATATATATATATTGTTCTTTTTTCACGCCTCAAAATTCAGTATGTGTTTTCAGGACTAGAGAGATAGTATAGCACTTGCCTTGCACATTGCACAGGACCTGTTCTGGTTCAATCTCTAGCACTACATATGGTCCCCAAGCCCTCTAAGAGTGATCCTTGAGCACAGAGCTAGGAGTAAGTCCTGAGCACAGCAGGATAAGGTAAACAGAACATCAAACACACACACAATTTAGTACTGTTTTAATTTCACTATTGTTCATTAATTGCATTTTATTGCTCACTTCATATGTGGGTAATATGTTCCTATATTGTAGAAAGAGAAAGGTCGTATCTGAGGCTGGGCAAATAACATTTTGCAAGAGGTATGGCGGGTCTCATGTACATTATAAGCATCACTATTTTTTTTTTGGTGGTTCTTTCTATGATGAGTATCTTTTTTAAAAAAATTATTGAATCACCGTGAGATAGTTACAAGCTTTCATGTTTGGGTTATAATCACACAATGATCAAACACCCATCCTCCACCAGTGCACATTCCCCAACACCAATATCCCTGGTATACCCTCCCTTTCCCACCGTCCCCCTGCCTCCATGGCAGACTTGATTCCCCATACTCTCTACTTTTGGGCATTATGGTTTGTAATACAGACCCTGAGAGGTCATCATGTTTGGTCCTTTATCTACTTTCTGCACACATCTCCCATCATGACTGATTATTTTCTTCGTGATCCCTTCTCTATTCCAGCTGCCTTCTCCCCTTTGCTCATGAGGCAGGCTTCCAGCTATGGAGCAATCTATCTGTCCCGGGTATCTACTATCCTTAGGAAGCATCACTATTTTCATGCATTCCTGTACTCTATTCAGCGAAGCTTTTAATCTCCAAGGGGAAGCAGCTAATCTTACTGTGCCCACTCAGGAGCCGGCAGGGGTCCCAAGGAGAAGGTGCAGTCCCCCCTCCCCTCCCCCCCCCCCCCCCACATACAGAGTCTCCTAGAATCGTCCTCTTCGGAGCTCACGCTGAAATTAATCTCTGAGGTTTGTTTCCGAAGAGGTGGCTTCTCGGTTCCTCCTGGAAACTTCGTGTTAGCAGACAGGAACAAAACGTACTTACAATAACCACTATAGCCAAAGGCACAGCAGATGCTGGATTCTTCAGGATGGCCTTCCTTTTTTGTAATAGTATTTCTTTCTTCCAGTAAAACCAGTCTATTTGGGACATAAGGTGAGGAAAGAGAGGGGTACGTACCTGAGAGAGCACAGGAGCTTCTTCAGGCGGGGGGGGGGGGTGGGGGGGGGGGAAGCAAAGCACACATCTCGGACTGGCGCGACCATTTCCCTAGAATGGTGAAATGCGCCCTAAAACCGAGGAAATGACCATCTCAGGGGGGAGATGCGGGCGAATGCAAGGGCAGTTTTCCCCTTTTCTTTTCTTCAAAATGCCTCCGCCCTCCCATTCAGTTTTTAATCTGGGTTCAGAGAAAAACGGTGGTTCCTCCCTCACAGCCCGGGCGTGAGATGCTGGCGGTGCAACTGCCGCTCACCTGTCGCGGAGCGGCGGACCGGACCCTGGACCGGGCGGAGCGCGGGCCGCTCGGCCTCCTTCCCGACGGCTCCCGGGCGCCCTCCCCGCGGAGCAGGACCCCGTGCCGGTCGCCGGGGCACTTTGGGGGAGGCAGAGGCGGTCCGAAGGTGCGCGGCGGCCCCTCGCCCTCCGCCACCGAGAGGCCGGCCCGTCCGAGCGCAATGGGAAAGACCCCGACTCAGAGAGGGGGCGCGGCCTGTGGGGCGCCGTCCGGACGCGGGGGTCCCGGCGGGGGCGGGGAGGGTGTGCGTGCACGGGGCCGTGCGGGGGACGAGGGCCTGGACTGTTCCTCTACAAAGCGCTTCTGTCCCTCGGGCGCCACCCACCAGGGTTTCGCCGTCCCCGCCCGTCGAGGCCGGGCAGGGACGGGCGCCGAGAGCGGCCCGGAGCCTCGGGGCCGCGCGGCGCTTCGGCCCAGGGTGCCCGCGGAGTCCGGGGCGCGGGGGTGCGGGGTCGGGGGGCTGCGGCCCGCCCCCTCGCCGCCCGCTGCCCAGGTGGGGCCGCCCCTGGCGCGCGGGGCTGGCGGGTAGGAGGGGCCGGCCCCGAGCGAGCGCCGCCCCCGCACCTATCACATGGCCGGGGCGCCACAAAAACAACAGCCTGGCGGAGACCCCGACGCGAGGAGGGAGCCCCGGCGCCCGGTGCCAGCCCCTCCCCATGGAGGAGAGTTTTCTGGAAGCCTTCGGGAGGCTGAGCGTGCGGCGGCAGCAGCAGCGCCCGCAGCAGCAGCGCCCGCAGCAGCACCCGCAGCCCCAGCAGCAGCAGCGGCAGCCGCCGGCGGCGCCTCGGCCCCCGGCCCCGCCGCCCCCGCGCGGGACCCCCGCGCGCCGCCACAGCTTCCGCAAACACCTCTACCTCCTGCGCGGCCTCCCGGGCTCGGGCAAGACCACCCTGGCCAGGTAGGTCAGGAGCCGGCGGGGCGCGGGACTCCCCTCCCGCCCGGCCCGGCCCGGCCCGAGGGGGCCCCCGCGGCGCCGGGCCCGTGCCCAGGCGGGGGCCCGGCGGGCCCCGGTCGCGTCCCTGCTCGGCCCCGGAGGACGCGCTCGGCCACTGCGCCCCGCGCCGGCCCCCGGTGGCAGCGCCCCCCGCGCGGCCCGCCGGGTGCCGGGCGACCCTCTGCGGAGCTGGCCGCCCCCCTCGGCCCCCGCCCCCCGGCCCCACGGCAGTTTCTGTGCGCGCAGGACACGGGAACAAAAGCAGAACCCCAGCAAGCGAAGGAGCCGATCCCGCGGCGACTGTGGTGAAACCCGCCCGGCGGGCCGCGGGCGCGCGGACCCCCGCCGCCGGGTGTCAACAGGCGTTTTCCGCCGGGCGGGGAGGCGGGGATCGGGGCCGGAGGCCGCACCTTCCGGGCTCGCCTCGCGGCTCCAGGGGCCCCGGGGTGGGGGCAGGGGCGCAGGCACCCCGGCCTGTCGCGGACCGAGCCCGGGGCGGCGCGAGGCGGGTTTCCTCGCGATTGCGTAAGCCGCGCGCCCCGGGACCGGGCTGGGCGCCTGCTGCCCCCGCGCTAGGCCACCGCGCCCGCCCTCCGCCCCCCGGACGGGACCCCGAGGCCACAGCGACGCCGAACGGCCTGGCCGCTGGCCGCTGCCGACCCGCACCCGCCCGCCCCGCGGCCTTGCTCTGCCCGTCCGCTGTCCCGTCCGCTGTCCCTCCGCTGTCCCTCGGCGCCCGCGACCCCACCCCGCCGGGAGATGCGCTCTCGAGCCCGGTTCGCGGGGTCACCTCTCGAGCGCGCCCGTGTTGCACCTGCTTCTGCTTCCCGGTGAAGTTTCTGGCGGGGAGGCCGTGCTCCAGGCTGCGGAGCGCGGTGTGTGCGTGCTCAGCGGTTGTCGCGGCCCCTGGCCCGCACCCGCCGCAGCATCCCCTGGCCCGCACCCGCCGCAGCATCCCCTGGCCCGCAGCGCCAGCGGGCCGGGGAACTGCTAACGCGGTGTGGAGGAGGCTGAGCCCGCGGGAGAGACATCTCTGGGTCCGCTCGTGGGAGCTGACGGTGACAGGCGGGTTCCTGGCCTGCTGTGGGAAAGCTTTTAGCACAATATTGTTACGGAAGTGGAAGGAAGGGGGGTGGGGCTTCCAAAGGGCGGTTGGTACCTTTCCTTTCTTTTATTCTTTTTTTTTTAAATCTGTTTTTGGTTCGGTTTTGGGATGGCCACACCTGGGGGTGCTCAGAAATTACTCCTGACTCTGTGCTCCAGGATCACTCTTGGACGGCCCCTTGCAGACTCCCTGCCCGGTGTACGATCGCTCTGGCCCCGGTTACCTTTGCTTTTCTTTTTTCTTTTTGGGTTTTGGGCACATCTGCCTCTGCGCCCAGTAATTACTCCTGGCAGGGCTCGGGGGACCATATGGGATGCCGAGGATCGAACCGCTCTTTCGCATACCTACCCAGGGTATTATCTCTCCAGGTCTCCTGGAACTTTTCTTAAAGTAGCGTTTCAGTAAGTCTTTCTGGCCATTTGGAGCTGGAGAGCGAAGGAGCCCCCTCAGAGCCCAGCAGAACTCTGGGGGGGGGGGGGGGGTTGCTTTGTGTACGTGTGTGTGTACTTGAGTCTGTTTCAGACAAGGTGGCTCATCTTTAAGCAGCCAAAACTCTTGGAAGTCATTTCTTGCTAGTTTCATTTTGGCTTTGCTCTTGTGTGACCTGTCACACACTTAATGTCAAAAAAGGAAATAAACATCTTCGGCCAAGATTTTGCTTGCCACTTACTCAGGAGGAAAGTAGCATGAGTGGAAGGCGCATGGCCTGGGACACTGGAATGGGGGTTTGACCTCTCAATCCTCATCTGGAAGGAGAGTGCGGCCCTCTAGGCCAGCTCATCATCTCCCTTCAGGCTCTCCAGCCTCCTGTACTTTTAGGATCTGAGGGTGGAGGGACCAATTGGTAGTGCTTGGTGGGCACCATTAAACTACACACTCAGTGTACAGGGACCGCATGGTCCCAGGGTCAGCTGCATACAAGGTCTATCTCTTCGGCCTAGGATTTTGTTTTATTTATTTATTTAGTTTTTTTTTTTTGAACACTCCTGGCTGTGTTCAGGGCCGACTTGTCACTCTGAGCTCAGGTTATCACTTCTGACTGGGCTATGAGGACCCTATCGAGTGTTGGAGATCGAACGCGTCAGTCATTTGCAAGGCAAGCACCCTACCCACTCTCCCCTACCCTGGCCCCAGGATTTTAATTCCTGGTTCACGTTGGCTAAGCAGAAGACACTAGAGGGTAGACCTGCTCATTAGAAATCCTGCGGGCACCAGCCTGGGAGTCTGCTGACTGCTTTCAGATCTTCTTTGGGAAAAGAGTAGGGGACTGTGGGCAATCACTGGGCCTCATTTTCATTCTATGTGAATGCTAAGAAAGGTTACACTTGTAGAGTAGATTCTTCTGACAATTTCTAGTTGGCAGATTTCAATTTTGTTCTTTTTCAATTTTTGTTTTGGTGCTATACCCAGTGGTGCTCAGGGCTGACTCCTGGCTCTGGGATCTCCGAGATCACTCCTGGCAGAGCTTGGAGGATCATATTGGGTGACCAGGATCTAATTGGGGCCAGCCCCATGCAAGTTCTATACCCGCTGTACTGTCTCTACACCTCTCGACTGTGCATTTATGCAGGAAATAAGGACTTTTCTCTTTTGGGGGGCATGGGGTGGGGGTGCTTCTGGCTCTGCACTCTGGAGTTATTCCTGGTGGTGCTTGGGGGACCATATGAGATGCCGGGGATTGAACTGGGTCAGTCACATGCAAGGCAAGCACCCTACCTGCTATGCTATCAATCAAAAGCTTTCTAAGCAGTCACAGCTCAGCTAGGAGGTTTGAGGTGAAAACAGGTGCAGTGGATGTCTTAGGCTGTTTGCCTCAAGATCATCTTTCTTCACTTTTCTAGGAGCTGTGTCGGGGATGGAGAATAAGAAAATGCTTTTTTTTTTAAAAAAAAGAGGCCCTCCCGTTGATCATCGATTTGCTCGAGCGGGCCCAGTAACGTCTCCATTGGAGACTTTGTTGTTACTGTGTTTGGCATATCGAATACGTCGATATGCCATATCGAATACATCGATATACGTAGTTTTTTTTTTAAAAAAAAAAAAGAAAAGCAAACATGTAGAAAATAGTGTTTGAAAGTGTGTAAGGCTGACGCCTGACCGAGGCTACGAGTTGCGCCGCATGAGTGGCTCTCCGACACAGCCATGGCTCCAGAGGCACAAGGACCTAATTCAGAGCCCAGCAGCTTGAACCTGGGTCAGTCACATGCAAGGCAGCTTGCGGCAGAAATGTGAATGGACTATGCATTAAACTGAGGCGCCATTACCCCCCCACCCCGGAGGGAAAGGGCCTTTGTCTCTCCCCCCCACTCCAGCAGCATGGAGGCCGCCGCCTCAGAGCTTATAGGAAAGCCAGGTATGAGCCGGTGGTGACAGGGCAACTGCAGTCTCATGGGAAGGGGGCGGTACCAGCTCATCCTTCATGCCCTACTGAGGTCCTGAGCTGCCCACCACGAGCAGCTCTTCGGCACGGCCATGGTACCAGACGCACACAAACCAATCTTGTAATTATCTGGCTCTTGGCAGAAATCCCTCCAGACTTAATTAGCAAAATATTAGAAATCAAAAATTGCGCGGCCGCTGCTGTGGCTGCACAACATCATATGGTTTTCATAACCAGTAATAGAAAACAAATTATTTCACAATGCCTTTTCGGCAGTTCTAATTGTTGGGGGGAAATTTCAAACAATAATGGTGCATCTTTTGCCAAAATAATGAACGTAATGAAAGTAGAGAGAGAGTTAAGTAGAAATCATCTGCCTCACAGGCATCGGGAAGAGTGGGAGGGGGGTATATTGGGGTTCTTGGTGGTGAAAAATAATTACTGGTGAAGGGAGGGATGTTCGATCATTGTGTGACCGAGACTTAAACTTGAAAGTTTTGTGACTTTTCTCACGGTGATAAATAAATAAATAAATTTTAAAAAAATAAAGTGTGTAAGGCTATCTTGTGAATTGTTGGGTTCTAGGAAATGTGTATTTTCTTAAATTTTTGTATTTTCCAGGTTTTCTATCAAGAGCATGCTTTATTCATGAGTCAGGTAAATAAATGGTTCTTTAAAAGTTGAAAAGGTTTATGGATAAAAATTATAAAAATTTAAAATGGGGGCTGGAGCAATAGCACAGCAGGTAGGGCATTTGCCTTGCATGCAGCTGATCCGGGTTCGATTCCCAGCATCTCATATGGTTCCCCAAGCACGACCAGGAGTGATTCCTGAGTGCAGAGCCAGGAGTAACCCCTGAGCACTTCCAGGTGTGACCCAAAAAGAAAAAAACTTTTTTTAAATGATGGTAGTTTTTATAAAATTAAAGGGCTTTAGATAGACATGGTTCACTTTTTTCCTGCATAATTAATTTCTCATAAAGATTCAGAGTTAGGGGACTGGAGAGACATTACAATGGGTAAGGTACTTACTAGTCTTGCATGCTACTGACTCAGGATTAATCCCTGGCACTACATATAAGCCTTGTCAAGTGATCGCTGAACACGGAAGCAAGAGTAAGCCCTGAGCACTGCCAGGTATAACCCCGTGACTCCGCCGCAAATAATAAATGTTAATTATTGTTTAATTTAGATTAGATAACAAAGTGTTTCTTAAATTAGGATTTTTCATTCATAAATTAAAGTTTTAATGTTTTATCCTCCAGATCAAAGTTAGATTTTGTGCGTTTCATCTGTATGTTTTCTTAGTTTGAATAACACCTATTTAAATTTCTTGGCCATATTTAAAAACATTTGAAATCTTATTTGGTTAAAAAATATTGGGATTGGGGCTGGAACAATAGTACAGTTGGGAGGGTATTTGTCTTGCAAGCAGACATCTGGTTCAATCCCTGTCACCTCATATGGTCCTTCAAGCCCA